CTCAGAGATATTTGTAATCCTAATCGTTTGTCAGTCAGTATGGAATTGATGAAAATTTGAATCCACTTACTTGTTAATATTAACTTTAATAAGATTCATTTTTGGATCGCGTTGCTTGTTATCAGCAGCATTCACCAATATTTCATCGAATATTTTGTACAAACCCGGCACATAAGAGATTTCACGTTGAACTATTCGATCAGTTTCCGTATCGTATACCCACATTGGCTATAATTTTTGATAATTGTTTTTGCATCCGCTTCAGAATTCAGAAGTTTAAATTTATCCAAGAAGACAATAAATTCAAGTACTGATAGGTTTTCGATCAACGATATAAGCTTCTACAAAAAACGAATCGCACCGACTCGCTCATTCTTTCCATATCAATTTCCAAAATTTATTCGACAACTCGAAAATCTTGGAGATTTTGAATCGATTGCTTTCTCTCGAAGACAGAAAAGACCGCTCATAAGTAAACAAAAACAATATACATACAGTTCTATCGGTATATTCCACAGAACCAATGTATGTATCCGGTCGTAGCAATATATGTTCAAGTTGTGATTTCTTCTGGTATATTTTTTCAATGCTTAATCGTTTCCCTTTATTTTCCTTCTCCTCTTTTTCTAAATCTATGAAAATATCCAATGGATCTTCTAGAGCTGTTTCTGCTGCTGTAAAGAAAAATAAAATGAAACATTTCTTTAAGGAAGTTGAAGTTTAACAAAAAAAAAAAATTTGGTTATTTTTATTATGGGCAAAGAATAAACGGATATTATGCGTAACGTACATGGTTTTTCAGCTTTCTTTCTTCCATCAGATTTTACTGATCTCTTAATAGGTGCTTTCTTGGTTAATTTAGATGGTAATGGCAATGACACCAATGAATCTTCATCCAATTCAATGGACTGAAACGGAAAGTGCTCTATTTTATAAAAGCGAGGGAATAGCTGACAGGCAATAGATACATTATTTGTATTATTCTAGAATATATGATTATGAGTAAATAGTGACAAAATTACTATCTGATAACCAACCTCAACTTAGACTTCCGTTCACTTACTCATTAACTGAAATTAACACTTCACGCCATATTCAGAAGCCTTAGAATAAACAGTAACGTATGGAAAATGATAATCCTAGCGTTGACCTTGACATTACTTAATAGAAAAGATTAAGATCAAGAAAGTAGAAGAGTTGCATAAAAGGAACAAAATTTAGACAAATTTTCATGAGTAACTAACAGCGTCTTCCGATGAGTCGCTCATTTTCCAATGAAATTCACCGGTTTATTACAAATCCTGCAATGCTCGAAATTTTTTTATTCCCGAAACACCTGAAAATAAGTAATTAAGAAAAATTTGCAGCACTCCTCGTCTGACAAAGAATCCATTTCATACAAGCCAGTGACTGAAGCGCAGAAATTTGAAGCATTTGAAATATGTCTTGGCATGCATCGAATATATTTTATACGCAGAGTTAATTATTTCAAACAATTCTCACGAATATTTAAATAATCTAAGTAGCTCTTATAAGCTTTAAGTATGCAGATAGTCATGCATTTCCTGCGCGTATTTTATGTTTGAATGCATCAAGCATTTCTTTTTTTGCATGGATTTAAGTACCTGTCACGTACATGAATGCATGATAAGTGCTTTACTAGAGTATATAAGTATTTTAAAAAGTTACTATGTAAAATGTGGAGTATTGATCCCATATGAATGCATGGCGGGAAAGGTTTAAATTAAATTCCAGAGAAAATTAAATGGTTCAGCTGTTCTTATAATGCAAACAAATTTGGTACAAGATATCGATTAATTTATGATAGTTTAAGGAAGTTATTATGATGATGGAAAAAACAAATTCTAACAGGGAGAAATAATTGTATGACGTTTTCTTAATTATTGATTGAATAAAATTTTTCAAATCAAATTAAGCTAAATAAACAAAGAAGAAATACCAATGATGAAAATTTAGCTTAAAGCTATACTAAAATTTCCTTAAATATGCTAAAATTCCCGAATATCTTTCATTTTATCTAACCTGATTGACCCAAAACTACGCTTGAAGCTTCTCATCTATGCATATATAAAATTTCATTATATTATGTTGTGCACAGTTACTGTATCATATGCCAGTAAAATAAACCCGCGCGATTGCAGACATAAATAAATATTGCAATAATCATTAATATAAGGCTATGAACAAAACAAGCGAATTTCCAGTATGAAGTGTCAATTTGCCAAATAAAATCAAACCCACAGTAATGAAGTATTAAAACGTATTCGGAATGAAGTAATTCCATCTATGAAGCATACACGAAACAAACAAACACACACACATACACACACACACACACACAATATACACACACACACACACACACATACACACGCGCACTTACACATACACACGCGAAAGAGTACATGCATGGAAACTTTAGACAATTTCAAAATTGGGTTACCAATTTAAAACTTTTAAATTGGAAATTAGAAAAAAATATCGTCCACAAACAATAAACATATGATAAATTATTTCGCGATATTTTCTAGTAATTTGAATTTTCACTTTTATGACTATAAGCTTAGCGTAGCATCAGTCATGTAAAGGTTTTATACTCGTCAATTTCCAGTACGCAAAATAAGCAGGATCTTTCAAAAACCATTGTTCAGCAATGTTCGATAAACTTTAAAAAGAAACATCAACGCATAACCCTAGCTTTTTTTTCTGACATGTTAAAAAGACATTTCGAGACACTTTACTTAATTCATCGCAGAATTCACGTCCATTCAAATTCTCCGTTTATGTTGATATATCACTACAAGCTTTCATCATTCATCAGTATCGCTCAAACTTATATTTCTTTTTTTTCTTTTTTTTTTTGCTTTTGCTTCAGTCATCGCTATCAATTCCGAGTATGTCACAATTGCTTTTGTATTCAAGTGAATGAAAAACGTTACATGTGCAGAATAATACCAAAAAGGTAAGTATTTCGAAAATTTTCAAATTGTGGTGACAGTTTTAATTTATACAAATATTTATTGTCAAACTATATTTCGTAACAAATTTGATTCAAAAGAAAAAAAGAAACCCATGCATTTGAACCAATATGTACCTGCAATAATTTTTAACAAATAAAATCTTACGGAGTAATTTATTTTACTAAGGTAGACATTTCAACTTCAGACATGACAATAAACCAACAAATAATAAGTCACATTGCACATAACCCTAGATTTTTAGCTATGTCCCCGAAAAGCTCAGTTCCAGTTCATTCCTAATCAAACACTTCGGATTTCCCGCCAAGCAAAAATTCGCTATCAGAACCGTGATGACTTCTACAACTTGATAAACTGTTTGAACCTAAACCAACCCACCAAATTGAAATCATTATAAAATAGAGGAAAAATCACACCAATATTTATAAAATATTTTCATAATTAATATGAAAACCATATACTGCTACAATTTTGAGATCTGCATAAACTCCAGAAATTTTGATGACATAAACTGGAAAGAGGAAATGATGAAAAGTGATATGACTGAAATGAAAAAACTTAAGAAAACACGGAACTGGAAATCTCCACATACACTCTCTCATTCAACACATGTTCCTTAGAATGAGATATTCGCTTTATACTTGTTCGTTCCCATGATTTACCAATTTTCTAATAGCTCATTTTGGTCATGTTTTGTTTTGACAAACTTTTATCATCAAAATTCCTTTTCATCCATTTATTCCCCAACTTAATGACATTCTATTTTTCTTCTGACTGCAAGGAAGACTTCCAAGCCTAAGCTTATCTGTTAGTATGAGCAGAACGAAACACCCTTTCCAGTACAAGCTATGTCATTAAATAGTACTATTAATGGTACCAACTGATACCACAGTGTTACCATCATTGACAAAAACTGTATAAAATGAAGAATAACGCACCAGAAAAATGCAAGAAAATTAATAAATGAACAGATAATTAAACGGAGATATCAGAACAACCGGAACCGTCTTAACATAAATCGAAAAATTCGAAAACGTACAACTGGCCGGCGTACCATGATACGACAGTAGATGATAATTATAATAAGGAAAATGAAGCCCCATAGTATAAATCCATAGTTTCGGTCGTTAAAACTTAACGGATACGTTTGTTGAACATTATTTTCCACACTCGTATCGAAAAATTCGACGATTTCATGAAGCTGTAAAAATTATAAGATAGAAAATTCGAATTTCCAAAAATGGTCCCTTTAGATATCAAATGTGGAATTACAATAAATAAATGATAACCTGCACAGAACTTAGTTCATGCGAAAGTTGATTTTCACCTGGAAGATCTGAACGATCATCCTTCAAATGATCGCCACTCAAATCACTGAAACAATGTACACATAAATTAATGTATGAATTAGGCAAATGAATAAAACAAATCCATGGACACAATACTTTAGATTCATATGGATTTATTTCTACCAAATTATGTCATTTGATTCCATTAATGATTTATGTCAACTCGGTCAATACGGAAAATTATTTCGCTAATTCAAATTTCCTATTTCTCCATCATAGAAATAGGAAATTTAAATTTCCGAGTACTGCTTTGACGTGACAAGACGACGAGGGCAGGTTAGACTATCATAAGAATTATTAAGTAAGATATAACTTGTATTACTCAAGTGTTTGCCAAGTATTTTCAAAAGTTTTGAAGGGACGTCCGTTTAATGCAGTTTTTAACAGTCTTAAGTGAGACTTTGCGATAACATATGAACTTACGACGGAAGGGTAACGTTGGCGACAGGCTCTGAAACAGCAGTCCATAGAATCCGACATTTTGGATCTTCTCGATATACTGGTTCAGCATCTGCTGAGATGTCCATTATAACCTACAACATTTTTTGAGAAATTTTAAAATCCAATTCATTTTTGCTGATAGATTTAATTTTGACAATTCCTTGCCTCATCCATAACTCTGCATAAGCAGAGAAAAAGAGTATTTTCCCAACAAAACATCCAGTAAAATTTTGGAAAATTTTACATCTGCTGAGGTTATTTCTCAATGAAGAAGAAACTTCAATTTTGATATCATAGTATTAGAAATTAACTATCTCTTCACTTTCGAATATTTCGCGAAATTCGAAGTAGTCAGTCTTTTTGGAAGGGGTAAATTCTGCGATTTCATCCAAGATGATGTAGTACCGGCCTGCAAATAAAAAAGGAACTTTCAAATTCTCAAAAAATCATAGTGTAAGTAGATTTTTGTTTACAGAAACAGATGACAAGAAGAAATCATAAATTTAGTAATAGAAAACATAAACTTGATAGTAATGGATGTTTGATTTCTAGAAAGAAAATTTCCATCAAAAAAAAATTTGCGAAATATTAGTTCTTACATATAACCCTATTCATATTCAAATTATTGAGAATCTAACTGTCATTAAGTAGAAAGATAACAGAGGTAGAAGGTAGGAGAAAAATCAGATTGAGAAAAAAAAATTAGACAAACATTAGGCATCGGATAAGAAAAAAAACTGCAAACGAATTTTAATTTATGGTGTTTGGTGTTAGCACTGCTACTACGTGTCCCACTTCACGGTGTGAGTTTTTCCATACCTTAGAACATACAACATAGCATGGTATAATCTTTCACTTGATCATTCTCTAGTATAGCACTGGCAATGAAATGATATTATGTAAGTCAAAAATATTAAGAAAATACTAACAATTACAAGTGACTGACGCAAACTTTCGATCAAATCACCTTCTAAAGCACTTTCAAGAAGTGCTTCCAATAAAAAGATACAACTCTTTGCATCCGATGTTGTGCCCATTTCAAGACATGAACTATCACCAAAAACTGCCACAAAGCCGGACCTAAACGTAAACTGATTATAATATTCAGAAAAATCTAAATGCTCAAGATCAGAAACAACAGAAATAAGAAATCAAAGATCAGGAAAAAGCTTTCTTTAGCCACGAAGAAAAAGACAGAGAAAACGGAGGGAATTTAACAGCTTTATCTCGGCAAACGCTAACAGTATATGTATTGCCAACTGAAAAATCTTACTAACAAATTATTATGTGATAAAATAGTTATATGACAAAATAGTTACGGCTGATTTTACTTCTCCGATCTAGCTTAAAAAAGAAAGTTCCGGATCTGAAGAATAAAAAAATCTCATGGTGCATGTGAATGATTTATGACTATTCTACGCATCATGTAAATGTTCTATACTATTAGATCAATTTGCTATTCTACAAACAAATATTCTTGAAAGTATAGGAGTAAAAACTTTGGAAGGTTGATGAAGAGTGAATCAATCACAAGCTTGAACAGTTAAAGTGATACAACTGATAACACTCAATAGCAAGAAAGCCTTTTCAAATGAATCAGTTCCGAACTTACGATTTCGATGAAATGTCATTTTTATAGTACAGGAAAATGGCTTCTTTATACGGCTGATCAGCTTTTGTATCTGCTATTATTTCTTCACCCTGAAAGAAAGTATCCTCTCAGTGTCATAATCAACTATAACTATTTCATTTAATGCGAATTGTTTTCAGGTACTTGTTACTATAAATATAGATTATATTAGGAAAAGACGTTTATCGTCTGGTTTCAACAATAGAAAATATGAATGAAACTGAATGAATTACCAAAGTTCAAGCAAATGAAGAGGCTTCTGTTAGAGTAAACAACTTCTCTGAACGAAATAATTTGACTTGCCGAGAAAAGTTATCTTGCGCTTCTAGTCGTAATTTTTCTGAGATATTTCTTACAACTCTCTCACATATTATACTAAGTTTCAATTCGAAAAAATAACTCACCAAATCAATTAAATCTGATAATGCAATGAGAGCATGAGGTGGAGCATTAGATATTGATGTTCCTGACAAATACTTCACTGGTATTTGCCCTATAGTAGCGAAACCATCCAGAACCTGTAAATAAATTTTCGATTTTTTCTCTCTCAAAAGAAACAAAAAGAGAACTTTCATGCTCTAAGCAAAGAGAACAAAGAAAAAAATTAGAGTCGTTGTCCTTAGTAACTCATTCCTTTCTTTTTTCCTTAGTAACTTAAGTAACTTATTTCAGAGCTAAAATTGCTAGTAATTGCTAGCAAGCGAATTTTCTCCCCCCCGTTTTGCGATTAAAAAATCTTTTCAGTTTGAAATGAAAAAATATCTTACATGAGCGCTTAATGAAATATTCCATTCCTTAAGAAGATCATTTAAAGCTGGCAAATTTGTTCCACCTGTTTCTGGTTCCCACCATTCTCTGAAAGATTATTCAATTTATCATGAAAAAGCATGCTATTTAATTTCTTGTTTCCTAAGAAACTTTAACATGCCAAGGCTCACTTCCCTTCACGAAAATCATGACTTTTTGCATATATTGTCGAAAGTAGATAAATCCTGAGTTTAAATCTTTTTTGGTGTCTTTTATGTCCTTAGTTTTTGATCAGAGAAATAACAAAATACATTCAAAAGTTCTTTATTAGAAATGCACAATCAGACAGGTTAAATCCCTGACAGTACAATATATATGTTCCTCTAAAAAGGGGTCCAAGTTGCTAATCATCGCATTACACCGTAATAATCTTTTGTCATTTGTTCGAAACTTCAAAGACATATGACCATTTTGACTCACACCAATCAGGAGTCCCTAAGTCTATATAACGATGATACAATAAGTTTTGTGAAATAAATTTTATGAAATAAATTCAACCTGCGATATCTATGAAAAGGTAACATACTTGGTATTTTCATCCATAAATCGAATTTTATCAATTACGGACGTATTGTACCAATCCGCGAAAATGATCAAATTCAAATTAGCATCATTTACTTCATCATAAAGCTTCTGTCGTTCACTAGGGAAGAATTCGTCCTCTGGGTCAACAATTAAAAAAACTGAATACTGACTCAGATCCACACATGTGAGAGGTTCGCCCAATACCTGACAAAAACTGACAAATTTCAAAATTTCAATTTGCTTTAAAAATGTATCATTTTTTATTCGTAACTAGAGAGAGCTTTAAATTAAAATAGTGGAACTACGCAGATATTCAAAGGATACAACCACAAGCCTGATATGATCCAAATTCCACTCTGAGATGATGTTTATGAGGCCAACCGTCAAACCAATTATTTTGATTCGTTTACTTTACCAGGCTACCGGTGAAACCAACTTTTCATACTAACGTAGTGGACATAAGTTAATCTTGAATACTAAAAATTAATTCGACATGACTCAGTAAAACGTGTAAGTTGTAAAACCTATCTGCTAAGTTGTATAAATCTTATTTACATTAAATCTCATGATTTAAGATGAAAACATGCTAAACAAAATTTTTGAGAACAAATAAATACTCTTTTTTTCTCCTCTTTGACATAGCGCTGCTAAAACCAGACTATTTAAAACTTAATGCTTAAATTAAAATTTTGAGCCATAATGTCACCTCAATGTAGTAACCACTGCTCCGAAGATGCTGATAAAGGGGTTTGAAGTTAGTATGTGGATGGTCAGCATTCCAATCTAGTATATTTGTTCTTTCACGCAAATCATCACGTGGAAAATATCCTGGTGGATAACGAATGTTTCGATACTGATCCCACAACAAACGCTGGCTACAATGTTTCATTTTTTGGTTCTTCGTTTTTAATAACTTCAATTCATACTGGATTACTGTCTTTTCCCAGCATTTCCTTTCTTTGCTGTTACGCTTTTAGTTCCTTATTCATAATTTTGAACCCTCAACTTCATCCACTCATCTCAATTAATGAATCAGCAAACTTGAAAATGAAACCAAGTATCACTCTCAAATCTAAAAAAGGAAATATCGAAACGCAAAGTTATTAAAACTAACCTCCTTGGGGGCGTCGGAATGATACGAACTCGTATTGGAAACACTGCGGTTGAATACTTTTGTCCACCTCGTTCTTCTGACTGCAATAAAACATAATTTTTAAAAAAAGGGAAGGAAACTAGAATTAAAAACAACCGATTTCTATATATGTTCTATAAAAAAGGCAAAACATAGATGTTATTCATCAACAAAAATGTTTATAATTAAAATTCATTCGTAACATTTAACTGTGGCCGATATATGATTAATTATGCTTCTAATTCGGAGCCTCGAAAAAGACCATGTACATCATATCAATTAATTCTGTCAATTAATCCCATCCTGAATAATCCTGAAAAATAAAACGAAGTAAACAAACAAAAAGCAAACAGATTTACCACCACTGTAACAGTAATCCGTCCGCTTGCAGTTCCATCATAATTGCATCCATTTGGCATAACACTTATTGCAACTGCCATATAACCTGACCATGGCCATAAGAAATCCGAATGTATTATTGAAACATTCAGCAAATCACCTTTTTCATCCAGAAATGGCTCCCATACCGGCTAAATCATTTTTTTTCCAACTGTTAAAAGCCTGCAAAATTAGTTTCAAATAAAATATGAATTTTAAATAGCGTACTTACTTTCGCCATTATTCGACCAGATACACTCATTCCATTTACGACCGTAACCTGAAATTTTGCATTATATTATAGTCATGGGCGTTATTTCGAAACTTTATCAATTTTCTCAAAAATCTCCAAGTTCCAAGCTCCGAATTCTCTTTGATCTTCAACACGCATAACATCTAATCGTTGATATGGAATGACATGCATCATATAAGAACTTTCTTCTTCTATTGTGTAGAATAACTTACATTAATGAAAGTCGGTATACCAGAAGCGTAAAGCGGTTGACTACAATATGGCCACATATAAGGACATTCATTGAAGTCGATATAAGGTGGAATGAACCTAAAACGGTGCAATTTTTTCCTAAAATCATCTTTCTACCTAGTAGAAGAAAAGTAAAGACAAATTCTTCATGATATCCAACTTGGTTGCAAAATTTACATTCATTTGCCTGTTAAATTCAGAATGGTACTATTGAAAATGGGACTACTGAAATATAGTATAATATATTTGCAGTCTTTTTTTTCTTTTTTTTTATCTACTCTTTGCCAGCAGTTTCTTTTTCGACTTGAGAAAAAGTTGAACAAGAAGTTATGAGTTCTCACAAATCAGTATAATATAACTATCTTAGTCCATTATCTAATCAAAATAGCCTAAATTAAGCTGCATATTAATTTAAGACAAATAGAACGAAAAATAATATCGTTATTCCTACGTTATTCTTGGAGAATATCGCCGCATGAACTGGAACGACGCAAGAATGTTCATTTTACCAGCACCTTGTTCAAACATCGTTGCCACATTCGGAAGTCTAGTTGCACCCTCCACTAATGCTTGCTTTACAACTGCTGGATTCCACAAACGCTTATCTTCGATACCACTGCAAATTCATTGCAAAGAAAAAACAAAAGTGAGAACTGACCAATCAAGAAATTTTCAACTACTCAAGTTCCACATTAGATTCCGCTTTGAATTATTTAATTTTGAGACTTTTAAACTTGTTTTGATTTTCAGAGCATGAAATTCCAGATTTCGATTCTTTTGGAACTACCTTAAATACAGAATTTGAGAAATATTTAATTAGGATTTCTGAAATATTTTACAAAAAAGGAAAAAAAACTAGCCTCTTACAAATGACACTTTACCTCAGCATTACAGCTACCGCTCCAGCGACTACCGGTGACGCAACGGAAGTACCAGAAAGAGCACGGCAATTCCCGTCTAAGGCAGAACCATAGACGGAGGAACCGTAGGAGACTATATCCGGTTTAACTCGCCCATAACCACCTACAGCAATTAAGAGCATAGATATCAAATTAAATTCAAATCATGATATCGATATTTTAGATATATACAAATGCATTTCAGCATGCCGAATGATTTTCTATCATTTTCCATATTTAAAAATTGAATCGGTGATCATTAGAGTCTCAGAAAGACCTCATCTTACCTGGTAGTTCCCAAGTGGTCATTCCACGTGATGAAAAACGTGCAATTTTAGAATCAATATTTATACCACCAACACCAATAACATCCATTTGATCTCCTGGATTGTTCAAAGTCCTGAAAAACAGGATATTTTATGAGGAGTAAGAAAATAAACAAGCTTCTTTTACATTCGTTATTACGTATTATAAGGGTGTTATGATTTTGAAATTTTTATTGTATTTGTTCTATTCTATCCTTTAAGTTAGTGAAAAAAAAGGCCCAATTTTGCCGTATTAAAATGCTCAAAAACCTTACCCAAATTTCGGTCCATCATTTCCAATTGCTGAAATGAGGATAATTCCATTTGCCGTCAGTTCCCATACCTTATCCATGAATGGAAGATCAGTAAAATCTGGACCACCAATACTGGAAGTAACCAAATTATTGATCGTTTTATTCCACACTATTCTTTCCACATTTTAAAATTTTGATATAAAACCAAACATTTTTTTCTCCAATTCTAAGAAACCAAACATTTCTTCCCACTAACATAAAACAAACAGCTTTTTTTTTTAGTTTCATTTTTCTTTTACAATTTCATTCAACCACATTGTGAAGTTACCTCAGATTCAGGACATTTATACCCCGTAATATGGCATGGTTGAAAGCATCAAGAAACCATGAAGTAAATGAAACCTGAAACCAAAGACTGAATATCCAATTCAGTAAACAATAATTTCATTCGATGTATGGAAAAAAAAAGAAAAAAACTCTTTCTTCCATACTTGGAAGGGTTCTTAAAATGTAAAGGACGAATATTAGGTACAAGTGGATAAATTTATTTATCAAGAATCTACTTACTAAAACTTTACTAGAACTACGTTAGCAATTACTGCGAATGTAACAGCTATTCTAGCTAAACTTAGATGTTGATAAGAATAAAGAGAAACGCTATCTAGCAAATATCTAGTAAACTTGAATATTTACGACAGCACTAATCAATAAGCATTTTAACAAGCATATCTGACGTAACTGTTCAACTTACTGAATGCAGGTCGAAGAGATTCTAAAACTAACTTGTTTCTTTGTAAAGACTTTGTAAACATAAATGCTAGCAGCAGGAGCAAATCCATCACATCTACGATCTGAACTAGCTATTAGACCAGCAACAAAAGTACCATGACCGAGGCCTAAATTGTGAAAAATTGTTTAATTCGCTTTATTTTGATAATGACGAAAAAAAATAACATGCTAACTGAATGAAATTTGATCACCATCATCAGCTGTTTTCTCATTTGTCCAATCAGTACGTTCGATAATTTGCCGAAAATGAGGATGATGCTTGCCAAGGCCCGTATCAAAAACTGCTACCTTCACACCTTGCCCTACAAATAGTTCGCCTCCAAGAATTAATGCAAATCGGACAAGAATATTTTTTTTAGAAGTATGAAAACTTGAAAAGCCTAAAAGCACCTTTATATCCCATATCCCATAGCTTATCAACATCAAGTAGCTTTGTAACGTGGCGAATTTCGGTATCACCAGAATGTTGTCCTTGAGTCAAAAATCGTTTTTTAAATAATGTTGCTGTGAAACGATTATTAATTGCAACACGCCTTGTATGAATGGATCGTTGTACTAATTCTACAAAGATGGTCGAATTGCATGCAGATACCTAAATGGTTGCATTTAAGTGTAAAGCTAACTAAAAAATAATAACGAATTCAGCTACTATTTTTGAAACGATTATTCTTTCTAAATCTAATTCCATTATTTAATAAAAGTTATTGGAGGAATTTGCAGAACTCATTTAACGAATTCAAATTTAAAGAACTTATTTATATTACCAAGAATAATTCACTCATGAATTAAATTAGTTCTAATACAACTAAATTTGACAATAATTTATACATATATTACCTCGACAACATCAAAATCGCTCAACAAAACAGGCCTGGGTTCAATATTTACTGTAATTCCTGTTGCTTTCTTAATTATGTTATAACGAATGTTCGGTGTATAATATCCATCATATGTGATAATGTATGCTGCAATTTTAATTCATTGAATCAATATTTAAAGGAAAATTTATGGAAGAAGTTAAAAAATTCTACTGAAGCCTTTATTTTAAATGATTTCAAGTTTCACGATCTCTCCCTCAAAATACTTAGCAAAAAGTATTGAGCAGGCATTTTAGTTTCATTTTTTTTATTTTTTTATTACAACTTTCTGTCATTATTCTTGTTGTCCTTTTCTGCCATTCACTTCTCATTCTTTTTGTTTGATTTAATTATTTTTCTTTTTGTAGTTTCCCGAGTTTACAAATAAATTCAATCATTAATCAAAACCTCCTTGCACTTCCTTATTTATCCATTCTCCCATTTCATAAATTTAACAGATCGATATCAATTGCTTGAAAAAAAAAAGAAAAGGCAATCCAATCCGACCAGCCCAAAAATATTACTCAGTTCAATTGGTACTTTTTTTTTAAAGAGAATCAACTCATTGTATTGAAAACTAAATTTGCAAAAAATTAAAATAAAACAAAAATAAACAAACATTCTGATTCAATAATAGAACACGATGAAAAGATAAAATGATCATGGATATAAATTAGTATAATGCATGACGTAATCCAATAAGTAACCATCGATTTCTACTTCCAAAATAAAATTGTTTTTCTCGTTTTGGTATCATCGATTTTCAGCAATTTTCTCGTCCAAATATTTTAATAATATAAATTCAACCAGACATTATTGTTTCTCTGCAATTATAATTATGAAATAATAATTTTCGTGCAGCCAAATAATTACATTGTTAATTAAGGAAAAGATATAGATTATTGCGATTCAGATAATAAACCATTCTGCGTGTAAATCTGTTACATTACCCGACAAATTCTGGTGGCAGAAATTTCCGAATTTGGATGCAACAATAGATTGGTTCTTTTTTATACGCTTCAGATATAAGTTAACAAAACTGGTAATTCTAATATTCGAAATACTAAGTCAGTATTTCTCCCATTACCATTTCCCGATACTCCCTTAAGCAGGTAATCCTACGACTCCTCGCTATCACCTTTTAATAACAAATACACGTGTCACCAACTACCAGTGATTATTTGGCAGTCCTCCCAACTTCATGTATGTTCCCCTCCTGAAAACATTCCCGAACATTCCTGGTCTATTGCAGAAAAACTGTTTCAGGTTCACTTTCTGCAAATATTTTTCGCCTCTTTCATTACTTATTCGCTCAGCAACCAGTCGCAATGTACACCCATTATTACCTTTTCCGGATAAAAATCATTTGGTTGTCACCATAACATAGCACGAACAATGCAGGAAAGTTTGAATACACGCATTTTATTGAGGCTGAAAGAAATAAAAACACACAGGTCACCGCACTGTGCATGCACACACGCACACACACACACACATACATACACACATACATACACACACACACACACATACACACATATACAGACACATATACACACACACGCAAGCACATAAACACATAGAACATGCATATAACGATAAGAAAATCCTGAGAAATCCGGAAAGAATATTTTAAAAAACTATTTCATTTCATATGAAACTACAATTATTAGTTTGCAGCATTGTTTCCTGTCTTTTTTTCTTAATTCTTTTTCCTTCCACCGAATGTGTGGACCTAAAGATGTTTCGCGATTTGAGAAATAAGTAAATAAACTTCGAAATTTTAACTGGACATTCAGTAAAATAATATGGTAGTGGCTCGTTAATATCATTGGTCCAAATATCGACAAAAGATGACGAAGAATTCCCGAAGTTTCCATAGACAAAGAAGACACTGACTTAATATGTTCCAAAAATAGGCCAGCGAAGGCTGCCTAAATCTGTAATTTGATTAGACAAATTTCGCTATTTCAATGGCTAACAACTGGAATTCAAAAGGCAGTAGTATTCACAGCAAAATGAAGCAGGAGATAATCCGGATGATACTTGACGTCATGCAATTCAACACAGATAAAATGCATGAATAAATCAAGCATTACTGCAATTCAGAGAAAAATGTAGTAATCAAAATAAAATATAGGGGAAAATAATGGCATGAAAAATCCTCAAAACACTACATAATGTTAGTAACAACAATAACCTAAAAATATAAAACTCAT